GCCCTTCCTGATTCCCGTTCGATATAATTTTTCTACCATTGTGACCATCGTTCCCTCTGCAGGTTGATCGAAGCAAAATACCAAATCGCGACTCGAGCCGGAGGAGTCGCCGCACCAGAGAGTCCCATCGTTGGTAAGTTTTGGTTTTCAGTATTTTTTGGGTCCACCGAGGGCCCTAGGGGTGTTTTCTCACAGGAACCAATGTAAGTTTGGCTGAATTCGGCCAAAAACGGCTGAAAACAGCCAACCTGAGGCGGATCGCCGCCACTCGCGGCGGCATCGTCGCTGGAGCATGGCGGAGCCGCTGTGCCAGAATTCTGAAATTGGCCGAATAGGCCTTGAGTCTGATTTTTGAGTTATTTGGGACATGTGTAGGTACCATAAGCGCGTTTCAGTTCTCCAAAAAAAAATTCAGGGAATCCAGGGACTGCCCGTATGCGCAGTGAAAATCCAGTTTTCGACGTCGAATTAGATAAGGACCCTTCACCCTATTTCCTATCACGGGTTTAAAGTCTAATAAATGATAAAACTAAATTAAATAGATATGCATAATTTATTACAATTGCTAATGGAGCCCGAACCGGACATATTTCTCTGTCAATTCTTGTTTGATTTATTTTACAGTTTAAATGCAGTATGGTATCTGGTTTATTTATTCTATGGTTTTGAATGCATGAATCACTGTTTACTTTACGACTGTTTGATTTTGTGAATCTAAGATATACTTGCCTTGTTGGATGCACGTTGCTTGTTTAAGTATTCATCTTTGAATGGGTAACGGAGACTAAGGAAAAAAAAGGAAATGGGTGTGAATTGATAATTGGATAAGATGACAGCCTCACTAAATATCCTGGGAGATGGTGGACGGACCGAGTCCATAGAGAACCTACCCTACCGGGAATGTTGTCTCATACCAAATGGGGTATGGAGATTTTAAATATTTTGGCGCTCATACCGGACGGAGTATGGGGACGACCATGGAAATTAAGTTTGTTAAGGGAAGGGTTCATGTATAGTGGGGACCCCTATGGATCCCTATGGATACTAGTAGGCTGATGAAAAGGGGGCAACTGTTGTTTGATGATTGAAATATAAAAGTATGACATGTGCTATGTTACAGATTTTGTATGAATTCATGATATCTATGATGTTGTTGTTTCCATGTATTGTTTTTATAAATCCCACTAAGGTAAGTATATGGTAAATAGTTTTATTATTGATAAATGAATCTATTCAAAATTGGTGCTCTATTGGTTGTTTTTGGTTTTCTACCAACCTTTACTTCTGTGACAGTGATATAGTGTGATGTCTTTACTAGGCTAGTGTAGCTCATTCCTTACTTAACCATTTCAGATCAGGAGGACTTGGTTCTCGAGCCCGATCAACAAGAAGACGACGAGTAGATGTCTAGATGTTTATTAGTTTCTTTATAGTCTTTCATTTCTAATATTTCCTTTAGAGGACTTATTTTTTTATATTGTTAGTACGTTTAAGTTATTGTGTAAGAGATATTAATCAGAACCTTTTATTTTGCTTCCGCACTCATATTCTTTATATACATTTTTTTTTTAAATTTTTGGGGTCGTTACATAATACACATAGCATGTCGTACATAATTATTCACGTATTTCTTTTTATCAATATGTTCTTATCAATCTATTCTTATCAATTCATATACACACAAAATATGCACATACACAATTTATACACATTATTTATAATTTCTAAGCACAATGCTACGTTTTTGTATAGAACCAACCCAATTCTTAAATTAAGAAAAATCTCTAGACAACTCAGAGCAAAAAAAAATTATGCAGAAAACTATAGAAGATACTTGGAGTTCGAGACAAGTGACCGTGTGTTCCTCAAAATGTCACCAATCAAGGACATTATGAGATTTGGGAAGAAAGGTAAATTAAGTCTCTGCTTTATTAGACCATTTTGATGGTTACGGTATTCTGCCAACATCATTCTCCAACAGAGGCTACTTAGGAAACTGACGACTCGATGCATACTCGATATCCTCACTTGTTTTAAAGTTGTAATGAAATTTAAATGACCAAATTTTTATGAGGGATGAATGATTGTAATATCCGACCCCAATTAAATGTAAATTATGTGTGAAAATAATTCAAGGGGTTATAAATTAGTAAATAAAAATAAAAGAATTAAAATTTTAAGATAAAATTCATTAAATTAAGGCTTTAAGGGTTTAATTGAAGGAGTTTTCAAAAATTAGAGGGGTTTTTTTTTTATAGATTTTAAGGACCTAACTGAATACATCTACAAAAATGGACCAAAATTGCAATTATTGAAACATGGAAATGGTGGTAGGAAATGGACAGTCAGAATTAGACCGTCTGAGGCCAATCCAACGGCTTTGAATAGCGGACGATCGAATGGACCAAATTAGATCTGACAAGATCGAACGACTGGGAATTGAGTATTTAAGGAAACCCATTTATGGTTTTCCCTCATTTCGAAGAAGAGCAGCCGAAATTGAAAGAGTGACGACCAAAGTCAAGAGAAAGGGAGGAGTCGTGTTGAGCCGAGAGGGAAGATAAGAAGAAGAAAAAAAAAAGAGAAAAGTAAGCAGCCGAGCCTGAGAGTAAGAAGGACATAGAGAACGATAGTCCGACAGGGAGGAGGCGAGAACAGAAGAGGAAAAGAAGTGGGAAGAAAAGGAAAGAGAGCACAACCAGAGAGTTCGCGCACAAGAAAACTGGAAGAAGAAGAAGAGAAACGTTGCGGAGGCTCTAAACCAAAAAAGGAAAAGGAAGTGACGAGCTTGAAGTTGTTCGGGCTTCCACAATACCGAACTTCAACCAGGTGAGTCCCTTTTTCCTCTTTAGTCATGGGTTTTCGATGGGAGTGTGTACTAACGTATGTGTGTAGGTTTCGGGAGCTAGAGTGCTCATGTTGACATGGTGAACTGAAGAGTGGTCCATTGGGTGCCAGAATCCAAGTGTTCACAGTGAGGTTTGGACCCCGCAAATTGCAAGCGATTTAGCCTTTTTAGTTTCCGATTTAAGATTATTAATCATGTTATGAACCCATATTGTACTTGTGGTTGAATCCGGTATTGCAGGATGTTTTACAAAAGAGTTTTGTAAGTATCGCATATTTTGAATCTAAGTTACGTATTTTGAATTATAGACATGCATATTATTGATTTGTGCGTGTTTGAGCATAGAACAAGTACTATATTGATATACTGAGAAGAACATAAACTTGGACATTGTTTAGGCAGTGTGAACCTTTCCTGACGGAGTTCAGAACATTTAATCTGTGATGGTTGTATACATATACTCCTGTGAATTGCATGATTGTGATGTGACCTAGCATGAAAAAGAACTAGAAATTCGAGAGTTGTGATAAGAATGAAATAAAACTGTAAAATAAAATTATTGTATTTGAGGAAATAAATGAGTGAAATTAGTAGATAAAAAGAAATGTTATTAATTGGGAAATAATAAAAGAAATATAAGAATAAATAAAATATTTTAAGAAATTAATTAAAATAAGAATTAAGTAGTTTAACTGAATAGAAGAAATTTGATAACAGATTTAGAAAATGAGTGAATATGAGCGAAATAGTGTATATCTTACTTGTTTACTTTGAATCAATGAGCGAATGGTGCGTCTATAGCTGAAGTTCAGTGGTTATGGTGAACTGCACATGGATAGCTTTATGAAACCTAATTCAAATGTAGATAGGTGTTTGTGAATGTGTGGGTCACCTAGCAAACGTACTTATTGTACAAATATGAGAGTTTGTGTGTGCTATCCATGTGATAGAGAGATCATTTTCGCTTATACTCGATGACGATATAAACGACATCGCACAATAAAATCTTAAATTTGATATTCCGAGTGTAGATATATTATTTTGAGTGTATTTATAATATTTGACTGTACATATGATATTTTGAGTGTATTTGTGATATTTCGAACTTGTAATAATATTAAAGTATAAAAATATATTCGAATGTAATTATGATGTTCAAGTGAAATGTGTGAAACTTTGATAGAAAAATTAATTGTGAATAATAAGTAAATTATGAAGTATAAGATTGTGAAGTTAGAAACATTATGAAAATAAGTTTCAATTTGAAAAATATCAATATTGCATTTGTTTCATGTTTGCATGTGTTTGCATGATGTCTGATTTGAGTCTTGGAATAATGGAAATGCTTACTGAGTTGGTAAAACTCATTAAATTTTATCATAATATTCTCAGAATAGAAAGATTCAGAGCAGCTATTGGATGAGTAAGATGCAAAGGTGTTATGATCAGTGTGTATTTTGTTCTTATTTTGGTTATCGCATCGTTTTGTTAAACTCTATATTTTAACCTTATGTTTTGTGTATATAAATATTGTATATATTATAAAGGATGTTTTGTTTTATATAATTTAATTTTGAGCTGCGTATATGTATGAATTGTAGATCCCATTAACTTGAAAATGATATAAATATGTTTATGTCTCGTTATTGGGACTCGAGACATTACATTATTATTTATTATTTTATTTATAAACATCTATTTTACTATTCACTGTGAATCCAGGAATCAAATATATACATTTATATTTTTTAAAGATATTTTTTTTAATTAAAAACTAAAACTTACTTTTAGAGGAGATAAAAAATAATCAATAGTCTAACAGTTCTTGGTTTCTTAAGGCCATGTTTTAAACAATAATTTTTACGGAATTCATTTAAAAATTTACCATAGTTCAACTTGGGGATGGACATTTTATAAGAAAATAATAAAATTTATATCTTAATTACTCGCTAAACTAAGTTAATTACACAAATTTTTAGATTTCTTATAAACACATAACCTTAAGATAAATGTATTCTTAATCAAATTTAGCCTTCAGTTTTTATGGTCCTCTCAATTTTAAGTCCTAACACAGTTTATCATCAGTCAATTCTAATCAATGGAATAGCAAAGAACTTCTCCTTACAATTACTGATAGAGAGAGAAAAAAAAGAAAAAAGAAAATAGAATTAAAAATTCGTGGTATTGAATCCTATAAAACACAAGCCATGAAACTGAAGATGAAAATTAAAAGGAAGGACAATCAGGATTAACAACTCCCTTAGCTGTGGGACATCTGGCGATATCACAATGCTCACCTCCTGTCCCCCACCAGGTTAGGCCTACTTCCTGCGTTGACAAAGTGAAATAGAGCAACACCCCCATGAAAGCTAATCCAGCATCCAGTGCTGCAGACAGAACATAGTTGTATCTTTGCCACCAACTCTTCCTGTACTTAAACACGAAATAATTGAAAGCAATCCCAACAACAATCCAGCAGTTGAAGTTCACTGCTGTGGCAGGAGGCATGGCGGCAGTCGAGCCTAAAAGAACAGGCAGATTGATCTTTGAAATCCAGTGTGCTTGGCTGGGGAGAGCTTTGGAGACGAGCCAAACGACAAGAGGTCCCAGTGCACCACCGAGGAAGAACCAGTTGAGAGCTGAGTAGTTGCCAAGACTGCCGAAGATCCTTTTAGGTCCGACCAGTCCCCAGATTACGGATGCGTCAAAGAAGACCCGATCGCTGGGGCATGTCCAGGGACTGTTTTCAGGTAGGAGATTAATTTGGCAAATGTTCTCCACAGTGCCCAGCAGAAACCAGGCTACTGTAATGTTGATAGTTCCAGCTACTATGGTTCCTATGAACTGTTCAAGAACACCAAAAGAATATACTTGAGAAGTCACTTTTGGAGCATGATAAATTTTCCAATTCAGCAAGATTACTGTACTGACGATTTTCAAACCAATAGCTTCATAACCTTATATAAATGGACAAAAATACAGCACAAACAAAAATTTTCTACTACAATTTATTTGGTCCACAAATAACACCACTAACTAATAATACTCCCGGGGACTAGTAAGTTGCATCAAATTTCACTAATTATCAGTCTTTTTACCGTCTGTAAAAATTTATCTATCTCCTATAGAGAATACTAATCAGTACTTTTGTACCAGTATGGTAAAGCACTTTAAGCAAACACTACATAGTAAAACGTGGATTTGCAAGAAATGAATTTAGTCCTCATCAAGCATGTCTCGTTAAAAACCCGAGTTTCAGATTTTATCACACTTTCTTTTCTAATGTCTATGTCTACACTTGTATATACACCAGAACAGGATAAGTTCCATTGAGAATGTTTGTCATGGAGCATGACTTCTTGCCTGAACAATCTTGTGTCCTCGTTCAACAGACAAAAGGGCATTTTTTAAGTCATACCTGGACTAAAAACATTGATCTTGGTGGGATCTTCATGTAATGGCCAAGCTTGAAATCATTCAGAAAGGAGACTGCCTGTGCCATGCTTATGTACCCATAAGTTTTGAAGCAGACATTGGCTATAGGTCTTCCAGGTAATATAACACCCATGATATACTCTGTAATGATGTTTAATCCCGGCATCTGGCAGGTCGTGTTAAAAAAAAAGCAGAATGTTTAGACTTCAAATTAACTAAATATATTAATCTAAATATGCGTATACTATTTGATTTCTGAAATTTAAAACTTGAATTCTTTGACAGGGAGAATTCAATTTCAACTTTCAATATGAGAGACTCTCAAAGATGATAATGGTGGTACATATTTTAGTAACACATATTAAGACAAATATGAAAATTAGAACCAGCAATTGGCTGATAAAAATTAAACCCTAATTAAACAAAATGCAGAGCCAGTCAAATACTTCTGCAAAAATAACTATACATCTAGCATTTATTGAATAACTAATACTGTTCATCAATGGAAGCCCTTTACCTGATTGGTTGTGGCTGTTATAATGCTGACAGGAAGAGTGAAAATTAAAGCAAGGCCAGCAGCAAATACCAGTCCCCACCATGGCATTTGGATTTCATTTTTCATGAAAATGGATAGCACAAGAGACAGTACAATTGACACTGCAAGCAACACATGGAACCACCAGTCTGGTATGTTCTTGTATCTCTTCATTAACTTTGTGTGAATATCGATCTTCCCCTTCGTCGAAGCTCGAAATTGCTGAATGATCTCTCTGTCCATCAATCCGATCTCGTGTCAACTTTTGATTATTGTGTTTGGTTCAATTTTCATTTTGATCGTTTTCAAATCCTAAGTTTAGTCCTTATATCAATTTCTAAATTTAAATTCTTATACTTAAATGACAAGTAACAAAAAATTTAAGCTAAATGATAAGTAAAGCATAGACTAATTGAATTATGAATATTAGAAGTAACATAAGAATTTTGATTGTGAATGAAGTGAGCAGTAACTAAAAGCGATTGATAACTCACTTTCCATTAAACAAGGCGACATGAGTGAGTGTAGATATAATGGCTGCAAATCCAATTCCATAAGTGAGAGAAAAAAAGACACTGAGGTTAATTCGGCCTTGCTGCTCGTAAGCCGGAATGTCAATCTCAAACTTGTCGTTGACAATGGCGGTAACATTATAAACCTGTCCATCAGCATCGAAGAGCTCCGACGAGAAAATGGGGAACTTGTGGGCATCGTAGAGGTTTACGCCCCAGTAGGCCAAGGGAAGAACCGCATATATGACGATTATATAGCCAACAAGCACATTAACAATGGCGAAGAAAGGAGTGATTAGCGGACTGCCGAGATAGGAAGATATGACAGCCCAGTCAATGGCGAAGGCGCCGAGGCCGAGTCCGTCCATGCCGGAGCCTATCTGCTGGGCGGTGACCGATTTGGGATATAGCCAACACACCCAGGAGATGGCGGATAGTGTCGAGAAGAGATAGCCGGGGAAGACGTACCAGGAAAAGCTGCAGATCAGAGCTATCAAGAAGAATTTGCCTCGGGACATACGAGCACTATCTTTCTCGTGTAAAGCCCTGTTAGTGTCACACAGTTGATGCTATTAAATTCTGATATCATAATTAATTAAAATTTAAAGAAAAAAAATTATAATTATTCTTCATTTTTAATTTTTTTAATTTTAATTATGTCAAAAAAAGAGAATATATTTTCTCTTTCATTGTCTTAAGCAAATCATCTTTTCGTTTCTACAAATATTAAGTAAAGGTTCAAGATATGCCTCAAGCGTAATTATAGTATATAAACTATTCTAATTACAATAATCCTTCGTGAAATTACAAGTCAAACCCTTTTGACTCAGACTCTGGCTCTTGTCATGAGTCCCCCATACTGGATATTAATCAGTGAACCAAAAATAAAAGTCAAAACGACAATTGTTCTCCTCTGACAGCTGATAAAACGACATGCCCAATATTTACCTGAAAAGAGAGACCTGAACCAGACTACCGGGCCACCACATTTCTGGAGGGTCCACCACGAACCTTCTCATAATCCCGGCCCACCCGTAGCCCAAAACCTGCTCCACAACCCGGTTACAAGTCAGCCCGAGTCTGAAATTTATAGCAATTACAGGTGAATGAAGAAGGGAATTAGAGGGAGAGAAAACAGAGGACCTGAGTAGTGATGACGAGAATCCAACTAGCATGAAAACTGATGCTTCTGTGATAAAAGGCCTTGATAATATTCACAATGCCTACACCATAGGCGGTACCAGACCCGAACGCAGCCCCGGCATTAGCGAAGATGGATATCAAGACGTGTTCCTTGATGTTAAACGGACCCGGGTTCAGTGAGAACTTTCGGTTCCCAAACCCGGGTATCCGAAATGTGGTTGACGGAAGTACGCTGGCCATGAACTTGCCGATGGGCAACGTGGCGACCTGTACGGAGATCATGGTTATGGTGAGCGGCTGCGTACGGTAAGCGAAGAAGGTGTTGAGAAAAGAAAGGAGGCAGCAGGAGAGAATGCCGAGAACCCACATGCGAAACGTGTAGACTGGCAGAGATGGATCGTCCGTGTTCGAAACGGTGAGGTTCACTTCCTCAATAGGAGAATTTTCTTCTTCGTCGTCCATGGCGCTGGCTTGGAATTGCATCTCGAAAGGAGACATGGCGAAGGGCCAGAGTTTGCGAGGAGGAAAAATAAACTGTTTTGTGGTGTGGTTATCAATGGAGACCGATGATGAGAAGAGGGGCGGGGGATCTGGAGAATCTGTTACGTTTGGGGTTTATAAATTGTATTTATTCCTCGCCTTTTTCAAATTATATTACGTGGAATCTTTATTAAAAATAGCAGAATCTTTGGATTTTTAGGGGAAATAAATTTATTAATTACAGATAGATTTATTGCTTTCTAAATTTAATCTATCTTTATACTACCATAATGATATCTGTTAATTGCAGTTTAACGAAAATTCTTTTTCATAGAAAATTATTATTTTTTAATAACATAATTTAATGACGTAAAGCACCAAGTTCCCTTCATGACCCGACAAAAAATCACATAGTTACTTATTTTGATTAAATGCATAATTAACATCCTATAAAAATTTGATTAAAATAAAATTAGGAAATAAATATAATTTTAACCTCTTTAATTTTGATCTGGCTTTAGGTAAGATTTGAATTGAAAATCAATTTTGGGTAATGTGACAGCAATGTCCTTGACTTGGCAAATTAATTATTGACCTCTAATAAATTCATAGGCTCCAGATGTTTTAATAGCTGTAAAAAACATTCTTGCCATTTTTACTAACAGTAATTCTAAGAGTTAATCTTTTCCATAACATAAGCAAAAATCCAGCTATTAAACATCTTGACTAATTAATACTTCCTATTATTTACTTTTAATAAATTATCTGTTAACTAATATGATATTTTTATTAATAAATTCATAATTAATTTATGAATAAGTATTAACACAAATATGAGTTTATTCATAATATTTTTTTTGTGCTCTCAAATACTAAATAATTATTTTTTTTATAAAAATATAAATTAAACAATAAAATCCATAAATGATATTTCCAACTCTTGACTATCTACCTTTTTCTTTTTTTTTTTTCTTTTTTTAAATTTAGGATGTTGACTTGTCATTAACAATTTATCCCTGAAAATAATAGCAAAAGTTTCGTTTTCTTTCTCTGGGCAAGAATGATATATTATTTCTGTAAAACACAACATATATATATATATATATATAGGTGATTATCGGACTTGATTCTTTGCATCTTGGTGTTTCTAATTCTGTTCTTTCTTTGTACATATATGTATATATATTGTTTTAACTTTTGATTTTTGTATTTCTTCTTAAGGAAAATTGAATAAAACCCTTGAATTAATCTCAACCATATATATAAGAAAGACAGTTGTTACAATGATGGGGAATTTAATTTATACACGATGAATGCCATTTTTAGTCTTTCAATTCATGTGCCTATGGAACTTTAAATCCAATAAGCATTAATTTCTTTGATTCATCGTCATACTATGGCGCATCATGCATGATTCACTTTATATATAATAACATCACGTGCAAAGCTTATGTCCCAATAACCTAATCTACCTATATATAAGTTAGATTACAACCAAAACAATAATTAAATTCGCCAAATATTTTTGTCTAAAATTTTAGTTTTCAGTCCAATGTGGTTGGAATTATTTCAAATATATATTTTTTATATTAATTTTTTTATTGTCATTTTAAGTATTAATTTATATTAAGTTTCATTCTCTCTTTAAATTTTGCAGAGGTCTTTGATTATTTTATTTAAATATATTACTTTATGTCGATTTTAAGCATAAGCATATTTTAACAAACAATTTAATTTAATCTATTCTCGTTCCAGTTTGGTCATTAATTTTAAATCTTTCATCTTCAATCAATTTTACTCTAGTTTGAATTACATGAATACCCTTCATCTATCTGAAGTTTAATTTGTTTTATACAATTGAAAAAAGGTCATCGGTACATAAATTTCAATTGTTTTCTCAAATCTTTATTTTCATTCTTTCCAAAATTCAAATTAATAAAATATATTAACATGTCCTATATATTTATATAGATATACAAACACTTGTGACTGGAGGATTAAATATAGTTAAGATATTTATATATATATATATATGCGCTAATTTATTTATGTGTCGTATACATGGTAAATAATACATACTGGTGGCAGAAAGAAAAATTCGAAGAAGTTAAAAAAGTGGACATCCTTCAACTGCTACACCTTTTGCTGTTGGGCAAATTGCCAGGCCACAATGTTCGGTATCAATGTCCGAACCTGAACCCCACCAGTTCAAGCTCTTGTCCTCAAGTCCCAGCAAGAAGTGAAGCATAACAGCCATGAAGGCAACACCAGCATCCAATGCAGCAGATAAGATATAATTATACTTCTGCCACCATTTCTTTCTGTACCTAAATACAAAGAAATTGAAGATGGCACCCACTAAAATCCAAGAATTATAATTCAATGTGGTTGCTGGGGGGATATAAGCCGTTGCACCCAGAAGTACTGGTAGATTAATTAGTGGAATCCATGAATGGTTAGGGAAGGCTTTGTGCAGGAGCCAAACAAGACAAGGTCCTAAAAGTCCTCCAAGTAAGAACCAGTTTAATGATGAGTATTCTCCTAAAGACCCAAAAATTCTCTTTGGTCCTACTAATCCCCAGATAACAGATGCATCAAAAAACACTTTGTCATTTGGGCATGTCCATGGACTATTTGCTGGAAGAACACTTTTATGGCATATGTTTTCGATAGATTCGAGAAGCCACCATGCTACACTTAGATTGATTGTTCCAGCAACCATTGTCCCGATCAACTGAAATTAAGTAACTTTATCAGTCTAGCTATATTAGTTCTATATAGTGATCCAACTTGATACAATTTACCTGAACCAGGAACATTGATATGGGAGGAATCTTCATGTAATGACCCAACTTGAAATCACTGAGAAATGCAATAGCCTGTGACATGCTCATATATCCATATGTCTTGAAGCAAACATTTGCTATTGGTTTTCCTGGCCATACTACTCCCATTATATACTCCGTAATGATGTTTAATCCTGGTGTCTACATTAAAAAAAAACAAACTATGACATTCAAAATTTTCAGAAATTAAACTCTTAACACTATAATTAAGTTGTAGATTACTTGATTTGTTGTGGCAGTGATAATGCTGACAGGCAAAGTGAAAATAAATGCGAGCCCGGCTGCAAATATTAATGCCCACCATGGCATCTGTACCTCTTTCTTGAAAAAAATACAGAGAAGTAAGGAAGCAACAATGGTTACAAGAAGCAAAACATAAAACCACCATGAAGGTATGTCTTCATATCTCTTCATTAGTCTCATGTGGACATCCTCTTTTCCCTTAAACGAAGCACGGTATCGATCATATATTTCCCTGTGATCAAATTATAATTAATGTCACATGAAAATTTTTTTTTATCGTGATTAAATTACAATTTATTCAAAAAATTTATAGATAAAATAAATAAATAAAAGTAATTATTACCGTCCATAAAATAAAGCGACATGAGAAAGTGTCGAAGCAATGGTAGCAAATCCAAAGCCATATGCCAAAGCGAAAAAGATACTTAAATGGACCCTTCCTTGCTCCTTATATGCTGGAAAATCTAACTCAAACTTCTTATCAACAATCAATGAAATGTTATACAATTGACCTTGTGCTGTGTATAAATCCGTGGAATAAAGGGGAAATGTATTGGCATTATACATATTCATACCCCAGTAACATATTGGAATCACCAGGTAAACAAAGATGACATACCCCACAAAGACATTGGCAATGGCAAAGAAGGGACATACCAAGGGACTAAATAGAAATGAAGCAACAGTTGTCCAGTCCAGAGTAAATGCTCCGACTCCGAGTCCATTAAGACCTGACCCGATTTGTTGAGCAGTGATCGAGTTAGGAAAAGCCCAACAGACCCATGAGATACTTTGAAGGGTTTGGAACAAGTATTGGGGGAATAAGGCCCAACTAAAGCTGCATATGAGTGCGATCAAGAAGAATTTGACTCGAGATAATTGGCGGTCGCCGTCTTTCTCTTCTTTTTCATGCAAAGTCCTGCAAATTTATGTAGGTATAGTATATTTTTAAAGAGTTAATTAATGTAATTTTTAATCAGTAAGAAGTTAAATTGTATGAATTTAGCTCAATCAAATACCGATAATGATATTTTTATTTTTATTTTTTGTTTGTTTATAGATACACATATGCCCGGTATTCAAATGTGTATATTTGGAATAGTTTTCAAGGGAACATTTTACTTAATATAAAATATAAAAAATTTTATTATATTTACAGTTTTTTCATAGGTTCAGAATTTATATTAAACCATAAAATAAAAGCATATTTTGTTTTCATTTTTCAGGGTAATGGAGCGCCAACCCTGGCTTGAATCCAGCCGAATTAAATTAAATAAATCCAATCATATAATACAAAAATAGTGCCATGTACAAAATGTCATGCAGAATATCAATCCCTCATAGTCATTGCCTTCTATTTTTTTTTTTTTAAATTCTTATATAAATAACAATTTTATGAAGTATAAGATATAAATGAGAAAAAAAATTCAGGTACCTGAACAAAGAGATCTGAACGAGGGTACTGGGCCACCACATATGGGCTGGCTCCACCACGTACTTCCTCAGTAGCCCCGCCCAACCATATCCCAATACCTGGAAAACTCATTGCCAATTCGTTCATCCCCTAGTTAGTACCATAGTTTTGTAAATATATATATATATATATAAGAAAAAAACCGTATGGAATTTATAAAAATACATACACATGTATATGCTTTACTACAAAACGAGAAACCATGACGTATATTTTATAAATAATATATGCATTAAAGTATAAGAAATAAAATTAAAAATATCTATATTTTCGGGCAAACACAGAGCAAATAGTTACAGAAATGGAGAAAAAACCTGGGTGGTGACGATAAGTAACCAGGAAGAAAAGAAAGAGATACTCCTCCCATAAAAAGCCTTTATGATATTCACGATACTAACAGCATAAGCAGAACCGCTACCAAAAGCACTTCCAGCGTTCGCAAATATGGTAATCAAAACGTGCTCCTTGATGTTGAACGGCCCCGGGTTGAGGCTGAATTTTCTCGACCCGAAACCCGGAATCCGAAACTTCGTTTCGGGAAGAACAGAGGCCATGAACCGTCCGATAGGAAGCGTAGCCACCTGAACTGTGATCTGTGTGATGATGAGCGGCTCCTTCCGGTACGAGAAGAACTGGTTCAAGAAAGAGAGGAGGACGCAGGAGAATAACCCAAGGAACCACATACGAAAAGTCCATACCGGGAGTGCCGGGTCATCGGTTACCGGAACAGTTAAACGGACTTGCTCTATTGGAGATTGCTCGTCGTCGTCTTCCTCCGTTACGGTTTCTTCTGTGATTTTTTTGCTTATTGGTGCTTCTATTTCCATGGTTACCATAAACTAAGAGAAAAAGATTAGAGATAATAAGGGCTTAATAGGGAAGCATGTGGTATGAAACGATGGTGGGTCTTTATACGGTACATTTTGTACGAGAAACTACTTGGAATTTTTTTAAGGTTTTTCCACCTGGCTGGATTCTGTATTCCAGCTTAAGATTCCGGATTCTAAACTTTTGAGTGGAATTAAGTATATTTTATTAATTAGATAATATACAAGTACAAATTATATATAACATATTAATAAAAATATACTAAAATATAAATTTCAATTTAAATCTATTAACTTTTTATTGAAAAATAACAAACTTTGCCAATAAATAATTATTTAAATTTCTAAATATTTAAATAGGTAAAAACGAAAACTATCCCGTCATAGGCCAGCATATATCTGTCGGGCTCACATTGCCGTCTGCGAACAATTCCTATTTTTAAATTAGTGTCACACACGCGCGAATGTTGAAGTATAGGGCTGAAAGAATTTGAACCTTGTTTCCAATATGGGCCCATTTTTTAACGTATAAGCCCGAAAGAAAACGTTGTTGTTGCATTACGGTCTGACACCAAAACGCTGTCGTTTTGAAAGCCCCCACAAAACGCTGCCGTTGGAATATTGCAGCAGAATCATGCTTGAGGGTTCGTCAATCGTCGTTATCGGGCAATCTAAGCCATTCTCAGAAACGCAGTCGTTTATTGGTGATGTCCCGTCTGACAACTGACGTTGCCCCCACGAACAACCATTTTTTTAGATTTAAATAAAGAGCAGAAGACACGCCTCGCAGTTCCACCAACCCACTTGCTGAAGGCCTGAGGGAGCCGCTTGCAACTGAAATCCAAAGCAAAGAAGAAAAATTCTTGCGCAGAAAGAAAGAAGGCAAACGCAGGAATGGCACTGGCTCTTCGCAGACTATCCTCTTCTATCAAGCCAATTTCACCTTTCTTTAATGGCGGTTCTTTATATTTCATGGTCATTCTCTTGATCTGCTGAACGTATATATGTGTGTGTGTGTGTGTTTTAATCACGCGGTATTAGTTTGTTTCGGATTTCGTATTGAAATCTATCCGGTTTCGTATTTGATCTGCATGCGCAGTCCTCCTTGCCAAACGAAGCCATACAGGAGAAAGAGAAAGCTCGTGCCACTGTAAGCAAATTTTTTTATTTGATTCTGAATCAAAGCTTAAATTGAACGAACTTTTTTTTCTTGCTGTATTAGATCCACGAGTTAGCTTTGTAATTAATCAATGCGAAGACAAGCAATTTTTTTTTTTTTCACTTTTTTGCATCAGTGGATAAAGCAACTGAATGCTCCACTCGAGGAAATCGATCCTGAAATCGCCGACATTATCGAACTCGAGAAAGCAAGGCAATGGAAAGTATGATATGTACATAATCGCTACCAAATTTATTTCTTACTGTAAATTGTTTTTGATTTATAATCTGACTAATAGTTATGTAAATTTACCCTTCTTTAATCATTTGTACGTGGTGGATTCTATTGAGCTGAAGCATGTTAATGATCTGAGGTTTATATGTAGGGGCTTGAACTTATACCTTCAGAGAACTTCACGTCAGTCTCAGTGATGCAAGCTGTAGGCTCTGTAATGACCAACAAATACAGTGAAGGATATCCTGGCGC